TGTTATGTTAAACTTATATTAAAGTTTTTCTTCATTACCCATTCAAGCCGTTTCCAGCCATTATGTTTGTTATATGTTCTCATTTGTAACAAAAATGCCCTTAATCTGTGAAAAGTAATTTTAACATATACTTGCACCACTTAACTTTCATTAGATCATGTCCAATTTAGGCCTCATCTAAAGTATTTCACACATAAAAGTAATGGCTGATGAAATGAAAATTTATTTCTATGTTATTGTAAACAATTGTGGAAAAAAAGTGCATACCATTAAAACTGATGACAAAAGATTTCAAGCCAGCCTCTATGCTGATCCTTTCGATTGAACACCATTGCATTTTAAGGAATTTGTGAATTTCTGAGGTGTTTGGATACCTTCAGCTTTGAAAGATGTTTTGAGTTTGATCAGCTGTCTGTCGATCATCCAGTCAGTAGGAACCTCAAGTATTGACTTTTGTTTGGCATAAGAATCAAAGCGTAACAGTATTTTGTTTTTGACCTGTTCATTTTTAGCTTCCTTCTAAACTGGTCAAGCACAACAAACAAACAGAATTATCCAAAATGTTTAAAATGCATTAAAGACTAAATTTTAGATTTTCATATAAAAAGTAAGTTGTCATGGTGGAACTGATATCAGATTTTGTGGTAAAAGCCTGTAATGACTACTTAGTTGTCATGGGCTATTTTATAGTAGTGTGGCAAGACTTTGTACTGGATGTCATTAAATACTTAGTTTGATTAAGTGTGAAATTTGTTAAATTATATGGAAATCTGATGTTTTCAGTAAAACCTAAACAAAGTAGCATGTTTAAATCAGTAGCCACAAGAACAAAATAGTAAAAGAGCTGAGAATTGGCTGCCATTTGGCAGATTTCCTCCACTTTTGTTCTAAAATTGGTGGTCCAACATATTCATTAAAGTCCACTGAGGAAAATGTTTGTGGCTTAGTATGATGGGGATTGCAGCTACATACAGGTTCAATTGAATTCTATAACAGTACAAAAACACATCACATAGACTACTATAATACATACTTATAAAAGTGGGTATTCCATTTGAAACTATGTCACCTCCAAAGGCGTGTGGTCCATGGAAGCAGTGCTTTCTGCAATATATGTCAAAAAAATTTAATATTTAAGTATCAACTAAATATGACGTTATGAACTTGCAATCCATTCATATGGAAGCACTCTACTATATCATACATAATCAGTAATCACAGGCAAAAGCACTGTTGGTAAGAATCGGACTACAACTCGTTTCCGTTTTTGAGTTGATTTGAGCTTTTTTTCCTACTAGAAAAGGCTTTATTTCCAACTAAAAACATTTTTGTTACATAATATATTCTTTAAACTATAAAATGCTTCTTACATGAATAATTTTCTGAATAAAAAATTTCAAATTCATACTTGTATTTAAAACAACATATCTTGAATGTTATATTGGCCTCTTCTATGGCATAAAGGAAGCAATTACCAATTCATCTTATTTCAAAATACACGCAAAATTGGAACTTAATGACAATTTATAGTCTGTATATTCAATTATTTAAATCACTAAAAATTTATGTGAAATAAATAATTTATAATTAAGCTAGCATTTTGTAATTACTATTTTATAAATTAAAATTATAAAGCTAGCATTTTGTAATTACTATTTTATAAATTAAAATTATAAAGCTAGCATTTTGTAATTACTATTTTATAAATTAAAATGTACAATAAACAAATCAAATATAATAAGAAAATAAATAATAATTTATAGTTAATTTTCTTGCAATATTTGGAAACGTTTGTTTTTTCATGACCTGCACCTCACGCTCGTAGCTATTTGTTACCTCTCTGATGTCACGTGATGTGCAGGTGCTTCGGGCATTGTATTAAATGATACTGTTATTTTTTGTATGCATAAATTTTTACTGAAGTGTGTCACCCTTCAGATTTGAATATGGATTCAAAGGATAATAGGAAAAATTGTAAATGTATTATTGAAAGCTTATTAGTGAACAAGTTTGGTACAAAGAGTTTTAGTGATAAAGAAAGCATCATTAGAAATGGTAGACCTATGCCAGCTCTAAGTCTGACTGGAAAAACAAAGAAGTGCATTCGAAAATTCAGTTTAAACTAATATGACAGGACATCTTGGTTAACTGATTGTCCTAACTTGCAGAAGCTCTTCTGCTGGCCATGTTTATTACTTAGTAGTGATTTAGGGACATGGAACTCAAGCGAATTTGATGATTTAAATAATATGCATAAGGCAATTAAAAGATATGAAAATTCCTCCAGTCATATATTTTCAATTCTAGGCCTAGCTAGATTTGAAAAATTACATAAAATAAATGTGCAAGTGCACAATGAAAAGGTGAAGAGGAATAGAGACATTTTAAAAAGATTAATCGTATGCTATTTGGGTGAACAACAATTAGCATTTAGAGATCATAAATGAATCACTAACCAAGGCAGTTATGTGGAATTTGTAAATTTGTGCAAGAAATATGATCCATTATTGAAATCACATTTAGAGAAATCAAGTGTTTTTTCTGGCCTGTTAAATAGAGTCCAGAATGACCTCATTAATTGTGTATGGGAAGTGTTGTTGAATAAAATTAAAAGTGAAATAAATGATTCTCTGTTTGTGACTCTTATCTTAGATGAAACTACTGATGCAAGAACCATTTCTCAGTTTTCTAGTGTTGTGCAATATGTGACCAAAGATGGTAAAATTTGCAAAAGATTTCTGGGGTTTACAAATGTTACGGTAGATCGAACAGCTGTAGGTGTATCTAAGATAGTGTTTAATTTAGTTGATGAATTAAATATTGGGTCAAAATTTTTGCACAAACCTATGATGGGACAAGCGTGATGTCCAGTGAGCTAAATGGGCTTCAAAAGAAAGTTAGAGATAAGTATCCAAAAGCTCTTTTCATTCATTGTATGGCACATAAATTGAATTTAGTGTTGTCGCAATCTATGATGAAGATAAAAAAATGTGACAGATTCTTTGCAAAACTTAAATCATTCTCTTTGTTTTTTATGAAATCAACAAAGCATGTGCACCATTTAAATACTGAACTGAAGAAAAGATTCCCGAAAGTGGCCCCGACTCATTGGAATTATAATCACTGCCTTGTTGAACCTGCCGTGGAATACAAAGAACTTGTTGATTTATTTCAAAATATTGTTGATAATTTAGGCAACTGGGATACTGATATCTTTACCTGCGCCTAAGCACTTTCATCGAATCTTAGAGATTTTGAGTTCAATTTCTTGGCCAGTATTTTTTCATATACAAGTGTTATATTTGACGTTCTACAGAATAGGATATTTGACATATCCTGTATGAATAAAGTAAATGAAATGGTGACTATTCTGCAAAAAAGATAGTCAATTTCGATGAATTTTGGGCAGCAGTCAATGGATTATACCCCCTACTAAGCAAATAAGAAATGATCCTGGAGAAGACATTAAAATAACGTACAGAAAGTTATTTTATGAAATTTTGGATACAATTTGTGGCCAAATTGAAATTATGTTTCAAACCTTGAAAAGCATAGCATTCCTTGAGCTTTACACTAAAAAACAGGAAGAGAACAAAAAAATATTTCCTGAACAAGCATTAAAGTCATTGCAAGATAATTATGGAGAATACTTTGATATTCATCGTTTGAAAAGTGAACTTTCGGTTTTATACTCTGATGCTGATTTGAAAGGAAAACCAGTGAATGAATTACTTTGTTGTTTGCAAAATGCCAAGTTAGATGCAGCCCTGCAACAACTTACAAAGTTGTGCAAGTTAACCGTGATTCTTCCAGCCACTACTACCACAGTTGAGCATTCTTTATCTCATTTGAAAATAATACACAGCTACATCAGAAATGCACAACAAAAAAGACTTGCAAGTTTAGTATTAATCACAACTGAGAAAAAGCTTCTTAAGGAAATAAAGACTGATAGTTTCTATGAAGACGTAATAAAATTATTCAATCAAAAGGAAAGGAGGAAGGAATTATAACATATAAATAAAGTAAGTAGCCAAACATGTCTTGTTTTTATCTTAAATTGGAAGTACTTAATCTTAAATATGATTAATGACTACACATAATTAATTTTATCTTTATTGACCATGCTGTACATTTTTTTTATATTTTATAATCCACCTTATATGTTTTTCCTTCCCCATCAGGACAAATCATTGCACGCCCCTGGTCACCTCAGTGAAATTGGTTGACACCATTTGTTTGGTTTTTGAGTTATCATGTAATGAAAGAGAACAAGAAATTCAAACTTTTTGCTATAATATTTACAGACATTAACAGAACTTGTGACTCAGTCATTACATAGATACTGTTACAAAAGGAAACAATGTACAGTATTGTAAAGTTCTGATGACCTATTGAGGAGATACTTAAAATACCATTTCGATGAACAACCCGAGCCATCTCTACATAGGCAGTGCTACCACCTGCCCGATATCACGTTTATTTTCTCATTGAAAGTGACAAGTTTGACATTTGGGTAACATAAAAAAAAGTAACAAATAAGGTATGAAAATATGAAAACAACATAATGTATAGCTGGTACAGAAAGGTGACAGGTTCTATGTTACACAGTGGATAGAGCCAAGGCTGCATCTTTCAGTTGATTGTGGAAAGCCTAACAAAAAAAAAGATTATTATAACACAAACGGAAAATACATATGTATACTTTTCATTGTATTTAATTGTTTACAATTTGACTTTAAGAACGGTGAAATTTAAGTACATATAAAATGTTGTAATTTTTTTTGTTGTCTTTCAAAGTTCTATTATAATTCTCTGGAGTTTAAAGATTGTTTTTCTCTAACATTTTTATCAAAAGCGTAATATCTTTTCATATTAATCACTTTTTGTATAAGCTCTGATGAAGCCACAATGGGAAAAAAATAGGCTGAAATAAAGTGTCTTTTAAAGTTACCTCAAGAGTAAAGGTAGTTTTCCTAACCTTACTGTTGAAAATTTGAAGCCCAAAAAGTAGAAGGAATCTTCTTTTGTAAGAATGTATGGTACAGAAGGAAACTGTTTTGATTCTAACAAACCAACTTTTAGTTCATAAGCAAAACTTTTATTTAAAATTTTTGCCTGAGCAAGATGTTTTCTGTACAAATAAAAAAATAGTGTGCCACAATTACAGATGCACGAATAGAATTATCTGTGAAGTGAAACTTTTCTTCTAGGAAATTATAAATGTAATAAGTGGATTATAAAAACTAACTTATAAAAGATGCTCGACAAATTGAAAGTTTTGGTGATCAAATCTGTATGATATACAATGAGCAATAGCTTTAAATACATTAAAATACAAACACATCTGATAGATTAAAACTTTGGCTTTATATTGGTTAAAAATAATATAGTATAAAATGTCAGAGAGAAGTACTGTGAAAGTGAGGATGTGACATGTGGGATTGGCAAGAGAGGTATGATTTTCTAGTTTATGGCTCTGTAAACAAATAAGATTGAAGGCTATAAAAATTATGCTTTGCCTGAGTAATACCAATATTATAATGAATTATTTACATTAAATTTCATAATTTAGAGAGTGGTGGTAGATAAATTAGAAAAGAGGGAAGACCTAGAGAAAAAATGTCACAATTCTCATATTATGGGAGATGGAATAATTTTTAAATATTCCCTTATAAAATTAAGAAGTTAAAACTTATATCACATTAAAATTTGATTTGTTTACTATGTTTAAATGCCAACATTATTCATATATTAGGTCATCAAGAAATTAATGTTGCATTTTGGAACACTTTCATTAACCCCCTCCCCCCAAAAATTTACACCATGCATAATAGTTAAACAAACTGCCTAAACATCACATTAGTGTAGCCTATATAATGTGTAAAGTTCAGTATACTCTAATCCTTGATAGTGATGGCACACCATGAGACAAACATTTGGCATGTAATGCTGTTTGAATACAAGAAGGAAAACAATGGATCTTGAGCCACAAAGAATATCAAAGAAGTTTATGGAAATGTTTTGAACGTTTGTAAGTGTCAACG